CCTTCGTTCCCATTGACGATGAGAAAGTGGAGGCATGGAGAGTCCCACTCCTTGCCCCAAATCCCAACGCCAGGTTGTTGCTGGCCTGGGCTGGGGACTCGGCCGTCAGGCTGCAGCAGCAGAGGTGACACTGCCTGGTGACGGGCGTGCCTTAGTGTATATAAGTTTGTGATGTGCCTGGCAGCCGGGCCCCCTCGGTGGCAGTCACTGCTCCGGGTTAACAGAACTGCCCTCTGCAGGGTTGGCTTTCTGGGTGGGCCGGCCTGCCCCGCCTCCCTCCTGGTTCTCGGGTAGACCGTCATTCTGGCCACCCAGTCCTGTGACAGGATGTGCTGCACACGGGCCCGGGGTCCTGTTTCTCCCCCGGCGCCTCCGCGGGCTGCTGCTGTTGCCAGTGAAGGTAGACACCCGGCCACCTGTGCCAGCGACCCCCGTGGACTCACAAAATACAAGACCCTGAGCCCCTTTATGACGGCCAGAAGCTGGAGCAGCAGCAGAGCCTGGGAGTCCTCACCAGGGCCACCTGGAGGCTGGAGCAGGGGCCGGGGTGGCCGTTCCGGCAGGCCAGGCCGCACCCTCAAGGGTGGCTGTAACCCCAGGCCCGGGCTTTGGTCAGAAAACTGCCCGCTGGGGCTTTGGATGGTTGGAGTCTCCAGATGGATGACAAGCTGAATGGGCGTCGGCGGGGTGCCCTGGAGCGTGGCTTCCTGAGAGCCCTCCCTGAGGTCCTGGGTGTCCAATTAGCAGCCACAGGTGGCGGAAGTTGCATCAGATGGCGATGAGGGCCCCAGAGGCCTTGCCTGTGGCTGCTGCACCCCCCCCCCAGTTCCTCTTTTAGAGGCTCATTGGGTTTGTTTGCTTTGCCTCTGGACTCTCTGAGGACTGGGGACCTGCCCCGAGGAGTTCCCCGCCCTCAGGTGGCCTCTTCATATGGAACTCGGAGCCAAACAAATGTGTGGAGTCACTTGCCTGGAGAGATGGTTAAGCTGCACGTGGCTGGCCCCTGCCTGAGAGGTCTGGGCACTGCCCGCTGGCCTTCTGCAGCTTTGTTGAGTTTGTCCCAGCTTGGTGACTCTGCTGCCTGTGGCAGCCGGGGTCAGGGGACCTGGATTAGGCACAAAATCCACCGAGAGCCACAGTGGTAACAGGTGCCCCGGGGGTCGCGTGGACGGTCACACAGGCTCAGTAACGGCCAGCCCAGGGCTGTGAGTTGAACCTGCAGTTTGGGCAGTGGTGGCTGCAGACGTGGCCCGGAGCATCGCCATCCCCACTGGAGGGACTTAGGGCACCAGATAGTTAACAGACTGCAGTTCCCTGGCTGTTGCTGGGCACCAGGCACGGGCTGGGTGATTTTGTGGTAATCAGATCTTTTATTGTGTCCAAGTACAAGTGACGCAAAAGTTACATTGTAACCACCTTAAAGTGTACGATTCAGGGGCATCAGGTTCATTCACAGCAGGCTGCAGCCACCAGCGCTATCTAGTTCTAGAACATTGTCACCACCATAAAAAGGAACCCGGTGCCTATTATCAGTCACTGCCATCCCTCCCAGCCCCTGGTCTCCACGTCTGCTCTCTCTCCTGTGCGCTTGCCCGCTGGACATTTTATATAAATGGGGAGGTACGACAGCTGTCCTTCTGTGACTGGTTCCTCGCACTTAGCACAAGGTGTCCGAGGTGTTGGTGTTTGGCTCCTTGGCGTGACTGAGTATATTCCACCTGGTGAGATCGTCCTCTGTTTATCCATTTGTCCATCCATGGGCAGTTGGGTCCATGGCAGATAGTTTACCCACCGTGTTCTGACCACATGTTGACACATGTGATCTCTTGTACTGCGTGAAGCAGGCCCTTGAGAGCAGGTGTCACTGAGGAGACACCTGTGACTCAGAGAAGTGACCAATAACAGGGGGTGGCAGATGCCAGACTCGAAACCCTGTCAGTGTGTAGGCGTGTGCTCTCCTGCTGCTGTTATCGCTCTGCTTGCACTGGCTGTGGCCCACTGGAACCATCAGCATTGTCTTTTAGTGGGGGGAGGGGTACTGGAGATGGAACCCAGGGATGCTTTGCCACTGAGCCACATCCCCACCCTTTTTATTTTTTATTTTGAGAGAGAGCCTCACTAAATTGCCCAGGCTGGTATCAAACATGTGATCCTCCTGCCTTACCTCTGGGTTGCTGGGATGATAGGCGAGTGACACTGTGCCCAGCAGGACTATCTTTTAATCTTTTTTTTTTTTTAAATACAGTCTGCACTGGGGTCCTACCCTCGGACCATTTAAGTTAGAATCTCTAGAACTGTCTCTCCACCAGGGATGACAGTAGTGCCCTTTCCTCCTCCCTAGGGGACATCTAGTCATGTCTGCAGACACATTTGGTTGTCACAGCTGGGAGAGGGGTGAGGGCGGGGCATCTAGTGGGCTGAAACCAGGATGCTGCTAAATACCCCGCCGTGCCCAGAACCACCTCCTCAACGGAGGACGGCCAAGCCCTGAGTGCTGGCCGTGCGGAGGCCCAGGTGGTCCAGCGGAAGCAGGCCTGTGTGTCCAGCGTCTCGTTCCCGGCTCACTCCATGTGCTGCCGGCTGAGCGGGCTGCTCTGGGGTTCCCTGTGACCCGGACCTGGGTGCAGGGAGGGCTGAGCCCTGCATTTGTAGCCTGGCTCCTGAAGCCGTGCCTCTGCCTCTGTCTGAGTCGCAGGTCTGGACGAGGCGTGTCGGCGGCCCTTGGACTCCTCTTGCTCTCCCTTTTCTCCCTCCAGCTTTTCGTTGGAGGGACAAGTTCCCTTCAGCACAGAGGGGGAAACGCAGCCCGACCACGGCCACCGGGCAGTGCTTGGGGCTGTGCGGCTGGCAGGAGAAGCCGTGAGGTGGCCTCAGGAAGTGGGTGAGCGTGCCCACAGCAGGACGGTGATTCACAGAGCGTCCCTCCGGGCCAGCCTCCCGCCTAGCACCCAGCTTGCCCCGTCCAGTCCCGGCCAGGCGGGCTGGCTGGCTGCGGGCCCTTGGCGGGCTTGCCCAGTAGCAATGACTCAGGTTTTCCACCTGTAAAACGGGAGGGGTGGCTCTGGCCACCTCCCCACCCGTGCCCAGTGCCCCAGGCCCCTGCAGCCCCCCAGCATCATCAAAGGCAGATCTTCAGGCTGGGCCTGCAGCGGCCACTTTCACTGCTAATAAATCTCCATCTGTGGCAGCTCAATTAGGAGCCATCACGGAACTCCAATATTGAAAGAAAGGATTAATAACCAGCCGTGTGGGAGGAATTAGCAGCTTCTGCTGAAAGGCCTTTTACGGCATCCGTGAGCGAGCGGGCACCTCTTGCAAGAGCGCTGCCAGGCTGGTCTGCAGGAACTCAGAAACGGAGCCAGGGACAGGGGACTGTTGAGGGTTGCTGGGCTGCGCTTCCCAGGGGCAGTGTCTGGAACCGTCTGGCTGCGCAGGACAGACCCCTGCAGTGTTGCCAGGGGCCTGGCTGCTCCATCAGTGTGGCCCCAGTAGCCTGGGGCAGGTGGAAAGGGACGCTCTCGGCCGCTGGGCTGCCCTGAGCCTGCGCAGGCCAGGAGGGAAGGGTTAAGCTTGGGCCTTGGGCCTCACGCGGCTGCTGCCCAGGCTCCCGGATGGGGAGGTCTGCAGGCCTCTGGCATGGAAGGGGCTGGCCTGCGGCCCAGTGCTGTAGCTCTGGGAGGAAGGCCAAGAGCTGGGGCTGACTCACCAAGGGGCGGGGGAAGGAGGCCTCCCGGCTGAGCCGGGGAGGGGCAGAGAGGTGGGGCTCTGATGTGGCTGAGGCCGCTTCTCACCTGCCCAGGGAGCAGCAGAGGCCACTGTCTTCATGGTCTGCTGCAGCTGGCCTTCCGCAAGGACCAGTGGTGGCCCAAGGGGCCGAGAGATTGGGGCTGGTCAGGCCTGCTCAAGAGGATTCTGATCCGAGCCTCACCAGACACCACTTGGCCACGGGGTGACCCAACTCTCGGCTTTAGTTTCTACCCAGTCAAGCGCGAGTGATTTTAATGTCCCCTTCCTCAGGTCGCTGTGGGCGTCCCAGGGTCCTGTCTCATTTGGTGCTTGGCAGAGGCCTGTCCTCACCCCCGTCTCTCACTAACGGCTGTTGTTAAACACACTGAGAGAGACACAGAGGGGACCCTCCACCCACATCTGTGCCCCCACCCACCAGCTCAGCCTCCTGCATCAGGAGCCGGCACTGATTCTGGCTTAGACGCAGAGCAGGACCCAAGGGAAGCCCCGGCTCCTGGTGGAGGACGAGGTGAAAAGAGATGAGCGAGGAGAGCGGCACAAAACGAATCAGAGAGGAAAGTTCTCTGAAGGCCACACAGGAAAGCGGAGTGCAGGGGAGGGGGAGGGCCAACCCCAGGGGGCCCTCTGGGGGCTGTGGTTTCCCGTGGGGCCAAGGAGCCCCTCAGAACAGGGGGGTAAGGCAGCCCTGGGAGCCACCAGCGCTGGGGAAGAGAGCGCCAGAAGGCACACGGGCATGGGATGCCCCGTGCAGACGAGAGAAGGTTCTGGAAGCATGCAGGAGCAGCGTGATCAGGGAGTCCTAGGAAGTGAGGTGGTGGGGCACGCGCGTGCGTTGGAGGTGACAGTGGGAATCACAGATGGGTTCCAGAGTGAACAGACAAACCCACCCTCCAGGAACGCGTCCAGCGTCCAGCAGGTGTTTCTGACAGATGCAGGGGAGAGGACAGCGACCTTCTGCCCCTTAGGAAGTAGCCACTTTCTTATTCCCCTGGCCTGCTGCGGACAGGCGTCGGCAGGTCCTGGGATTCATGAAAACAAAAACAAAACCTCGCTGTGGGGAGGAAAGCGGTTCCGGGCACCTGGGCACCTTCAGGAGAACGTGATGTTTGTAGACGCCCCCGTTGTCAGGGGTGGGAGTCCACATGTGCATGACCGCAGGTGACAGAGGTGGGCAGAGCGTGTCCTGTGGAATCGTGTGACTCTCCCTAGCAGCTGTCTCCTGTCACAGTGACCTCTTTTTCTCTTGCCCTCAGCCCAGCGGTCCGCCCATGAGCTGCCCATGGTGGAGAGACAGGACATCGACAGCTGCCTGGTCTATGGGGGCCAGCAGATGATCCTCACGGGCCAGAACTTCACGGCCGAGTCCAAGGTCGTGTTCACGGAGAAGACCACAGGTCAGTGGCTTGGGGCTCCTGTCCTCTGTCTCCTGCGCCGCAGCAGGGCCTGGCGGAGGAACTCACACCGGCTCTCTTTACTGGCGGTCTTCACCCATGGGGCAGCCACCAAGTCCTAGCTACACAGATGGCCAAACGTTTGAACCTGCTATTGAACGGATACTAAGTTGTTCCCACTTTTGACTCTTCCCTTTAAGGAGGAAAAAAAAAATCTTTTTTTTTTTTTTTTTTTTTTACATAGAAAAATTTTAAAAACTTTTTTCCTATTTGAAGGAGAGAAGCCAAATAGCATGGTGACTGAGCTGGTTGTGCTGTGGCCCTGAATGATCCTGGGTTCTCGTACAGGCTAAGCCAGTTTGTTTGCTCTGGGATCTCAGGGAGATTACACAAGCTTTTTGTGCCTCGGTTCCTTCCTACGTAGATGATCGTGACTGGAGTTGTCCCCCGTAGGTTGTCATGACTGTTAAATGAATTGATAAGTGTCTGGTCATCACAGCACCAGGCTTATCCTAGACCAGTCAACATTTTTACTTTAAGTAGTGCCGTGGTCATTCTTACTCTTTGAGGGTAGTTCCTGTGGGGCCTGCGTCTCTGTGGGCATCTTTTTTGTGTACTGAGGTTGGCTCCTGGCAGCAGAGTCCTTTTGAAGGCTTTAAGTACGTATTGCTAAGTTCTCTTCCAGAAATTTGCAAACTGAAGCTTCCACCGCGTCCGCGATCGTCTCTTGCCATCCCAGATATGCCCCTTTAAAAAAATTTTTTCAAAAAACGGTGTGGATCCAGTGCCCACCGCATGCCCCTGCTGAGCGCGGCTCACATTCTGTTTATGGACGCCCTGGAAACGCTCGGCGAGGGGCAGACTCGGCTGCTGCTCTTCTGGGCGCTGAGGTGACTGACTTTGCGCGCTGCTCCCTCCAGCTGAGGTTTGCTGCGCAGGAGAAGTGGTTTGGGTGGAGACGCGGCTGGCGGGGCTGTGGGTCCCCTTTTGTACATGGAAGTGTTGAGTTGCTGTGCCCTGGGCCTTCCTGGATCAGCCACAGTCCCGCCTCCGAAAAGGCGAGAGGCCCCCAGGGGTCGGGCACGTGGTCTTGATGAACGCGGCAGACCTGGCTGGGGCCACTGCTGTGGGGGCCGTTGGCCTTGAGGTCCCTGTTAAAGTCCTGGGAATAGACTTGACTTCCCAGGGCAGCCTCCAGAGGTGGAAGGGAGAGTGTAGACAGCAGGCTGGGGACTTGTCATTTGCCTGGGCAGAGGAGTTTTCAAGGCAGAAGGGAGGGGACAGGGAAGGGTCAGCAACAGCAAAATCCCTGGAAATCAGGGAGCCCGGGGAGGCAGGACAGCGCTTGGGGGATCCAAATAAGAGCAAGCCTGTTGGCGGTGACAGAAGAGTTGGTGCAGGACGGGAGGTGGCGGGTGCAGTGTCTGTGCCCGGGCGTAGACAATGCAGGCCATCTAGTTATTGCCAGGCATCCTCTGCTCTGAGGGTGTCCGGTAGCCCCTGCCCAGCCCCCGCTCGGTGACAGTAGCACTTGCCCAAGTTGTGATGACCAAAAACGTCTCCAGACATTGCCAAATGTGCCCCACGGGCAAACTGCCCCTGGCTGAGACCTACTGCTGTATGGTTTAGAGGTCACTGGGGGCAAGGAGAGGAACAGGGATGAGGAAAGTTCCAAATGGCGGACATCTTAAAACCTCTGCCTGTGCCCGCCCCCCAGGCCACACACAGTTCCTGCCCTCAGACACCTGCACACCTGCCCCAGGCGGTTCTGCAGACTGGGTGCTGACGGGAGCGTGGGCCTGACCCGCCACCCAAGGGGTCCCGGGCTTATCGCAGGTTTTTCATGTTCCTGTTTCAGTCCTGAGTTTTTGCATCATGGACATTTATTCGGGTACTTAACACTCTGAGGACCTGATTTTTGACGGTGGCTTTGCATTCCCTCTCCTGGGCCAGTGGGCCTCCCTTTTTTATTGAGGCTGCGTAACATTGGGAGGGGTAGGGAGAAAGGCAGAGGCTGGAATGAGAAGTCTCCCAGCGCCAGGAAGACATGGCCTTGGCTTGGTCCAGGTACGGTCAGGGAACAGGCAGTCCTGGTGGCTCTTGGGCAGGAGAGTGACATGAAGTGTAAATGACCGAGCAGGACCTGCCTCTCCAGACGAGATCCCTCTGCATCACCAGGAAACCGCCCTGCTGCCTTTGACAGCAAGGACATCCCTTTAAGTCCCTTTCTGGCTGAGGACAAGCCCAGGTCGACAGAGCCTCTGGGCGGAAGGGCGTGAGGTGGACCCTTTCCAAGTCCCCTGGAGCTGGGCCTCAGCGTGCTCTCAAGAGTCCCAGAGTGCAGTGACTTTGAGCTGCCTGAAGACATCAGTTCGACACTTGTTACGTGGCCGGCTGGCCGGTGGGTGGGTGGGTGGTTAGGGTTAGGGTTAGGTGAGGGTCCACCTTCACCCTCGGGTTCCAGTCATTGACCTCCAGATGACCTCCAGGTGGGACGAACGTGCCAAGCTGGTTTCAGCTCTGACAAAGCTGCATGTTGAAAGATGGACCCCACAGCCCCTCGAGAGCCGTGGGTGGCCCTGGCCTGTGGCTCTGTGAGTGCCACCTTGTCAGGCCCTGTGGGTGTCTGGGAGACACGTGGTGACACTCTGAGGGGTGGGGGCCTCTCTCATGGGTGATATGCAGCCTTGTCCTCTACTTGGCCTCCTGGGACCTCACCTTCCCCTCTGTGAAGTGGGACAGTCCTCTGGAAGTGGGCAGCTGTGGCTACTGTGCAGGGTTCTCACCCCATGTCCCTTGTCATTTTTATGGTCCTCCGTGGTCCTTCAGGACCATGTCATATATGGTCACTACATCCTGCTCCCGCACTAGCCTGGGCTGGGCAACCATGGGGAGGGTGCTGGGACCTGTCACTAGTACAGGCTCAGAGGTTAATGGCCCAGGTTTGAATCCCCGATCGGCATTTGGTAGCTGTGCCACCCTGGGTAAGTGGCCATACCTCTCTGAGGCAGCCCTTCTTCTTTTGTCAAATGCCAGTGATTCACTGCTCTTGGGAGGTGAGGGGAAGTGGTGAGGCCATACGGGGTGGGCTCTCTGCACAGGGCTTGGCCCAGTGAAAATGCTCAGTAAGTGTTGGCTTTTATTATTATTATCACTGTACTTTGGCTGTAGAAGAACAAACATGAGTAAGAGTCCGCCTCATGGAACCAAGAGTCATTAAAAAGCAATAAGAAGTAATAATAGTGCACGGTGGGCCCAGCCTGGGTCCAAGCACTCTGCATGTGTTAAGTACTCTGACTCTTCGTGGCAGCTTTCCGCAGGAAGCTGCTGACCTGCACTGTCTGAGCCTCCGCACAGACAAGTCTAGTAACTTGGTGAAGTTCACACAGCTGGCCAGTGGCAGTGACGACCTTTGGCTCTAGGCAGCCTGAACCATGAGCTGTCCTGCTCTGGGAAAGCCGAGGGCCAGGCTGCTTTGCCTGAAGAGCTCAGCTTCCCCGTAGCAGCGGTTCCCTGGAGCCATCTTGTGACGATAGAGGCCTTTGAACTCTGTGGTTGGCTCTGTGCCTTCTAGAGATCCCAGGTGAATGCAGCTCCCGGGTCGAGGACAAGACACAAGCAAGGGCGTCCGAGTCACCTGGGGGCCCCCGAGGAGGGGTGGCTTCCCAGGGTGGGCGTCAGCCCCCAGCAGCTCCGGCAGAGCAGCCCGCAGGACTTGCAGGCCGCTGGGCCTGCTCCTGACCCCAGGCGCCCCCCCTCCCCGCCTGGCCGCCTCTCGCAGGGGGAATCCCTGTTGCTCAATCTCTTCTTTCCAAAACCCGTCCCGGCGCCCATCTCCATGGCCACGCTGGCCGGCAGGGCGCTGCGGGCGGGTGGAACAGCCGAGTTTTCCAAGGGGAACCCCAGCTGTTTCTCGCATTAAGGACAGGTGACAGCCTCGGGGCTAATCTTAGCCCAGCGCTAGGTCATCGGCACCACGGGCTCCAGTGTTCTTTTTATAGCTGTCAACTAAAGTGGGATCGGCAGTTTCCACTCCAGCAAGATGACACTGGAGGTGGAAAAACAGGGGGAGGGGGCGCGGCTCCGCGGCCAGCCCGCTCGGTGTTTTGGAAAATGGCATCTTATTTATAGCAGCAGTAATAATAATAGTTATCGTGTTGTTTTTATTCCTATTTTTAATTATTTTCCTGACTTAGGTGGACCTGTGAGATCTGGCCCTTCTCTGGCTCTTCGGGCCTTGCCCCTGGCCTTGCCCGCTGCAGGCCTTGCCCCTGCCTCGCCGGGTGATGCCCGTCTTGCTGCTCTGTCGTCGCAGCCCGTGCTCGTTCCTGGGGGGGCTTTGGCGTTGCTCCCAGGACGCTTCTCCACTGTTTCTTTACAAAGCTGCGGTCTCCTATGCCTCAGGTCGAGGCCTCGTCCACCCGTCCTCAGGGTTCACCTGCCCGTCTCTGGCTCTCGTGGCACCAAGGTTGCCACTGCAGTCACCTGGCCCATCAGCTCCTTTGCTGCCCAGCCTCTAGTGCCAGCCTCTAGTGCCAGCCTCTGCTCCCCGGAGAGCGGGGACTTGGCACTTGGTGCTCTGCCCTCGGTGTCTAGAACAGTCCCTGCACGTAGCAGGTGCTCCTTCACGATGCTCAGTGACAGTGACATCTCTCTTGATGCCACTCCAGCTGGGACAGGCAGGGGGCGTCTCCCCCACTTTACAGGTGGGGTAACTGAGGCTAAGAGAGGTCAAGCAGGGGGCGCAGGCCAGGCCACAGCTGCTGGCAGAGCCGGGGACCCCCAGGCAGCTTTGACCTCAACCCTGGCATGGTGTCCTTGGCCATGTCTGAGCAGCCCACGGAGCCATCAGCGTCTTCCCCGTGACCACTCTGGGTGATGGCCGAAAGCCACTGCTGCCTTCTCCGAGGGGTGAAAATTGCATGACCTTCCAGGCACGGGTCACGCCGGCCAGGCCAGGCCGCTCCTGACTTCAGTGGGAACCCTGACCCCCGGGCCTCAGG